GGGGGCTCAGCTGTGCCCAAGCCCCCACCTCTAAATGAGCTTTTTGTGCCCCTTCCCCTACCTCTTCCAGTCCTCCTCAGTCTCCCAGAACTCGTAGACGATGAAGGTGACCCCATCGGGCAGCTTCACTGCGGTGACGCTGGTGGAAGCGAGGAAGAGGGGTGAGCCCTGAACCATCAGGCATCCCTCCCCTCTCAGCCTCAGTAGCCCACAGGAGGGTGGGCCACCGAGGGGTGACCCCAGCCCCAGCATACCGAGTGGGGGTACCCCCACCCTGCTATTCCCCAGCCCGTGCAAAAGTGTGTTAGTGGCTGAGCCTCCCTACATCCCAAATCCTGGCTGTTTTGCCTCAGCCCTTCACCTGGTGGAGTGCCTCTTGTTGCAAGGGCGGCTGGACACCCCTCACCCCAAGCCCCCAGGCCCCTGATGCATAGTTGCTGGCGGTACCCACTGGAAGCAGTCCCGTTCCCCGGCCACGCTCTTCAGGTACTGCTTCAAGGAGCTGCAAAACTCGCCCAGGTGCTTGTGCGACACCGTCATCTCATCCCGCACCAGGAGGAGGTACTGCCGGGCCCCCCAAAACATAGCAGCATGTGAGACCCGAAAAACACAGTGACCCCCGCCCACCAAGTCTGATGCCATACAGAAAGGACACCCCAGCAGCCCATGGGGGTTGGCTGGGCACCTCACCGTGCAAGCTGTGCTCTCGCTGTCTGACAGCCGCTGGTGCAGGTCAAACCAGAGGGTCTGGGAAAAGGGGGAAAAGCAGCAGGGGGTGAGGGCTGAGGCTGTACGTCCCTGCCAGGCTGGCAGGTTTCTGTCCCCAGTGCTTGACATGATGAGCTGTGCCCCCTTTGCACCCTCCCATCAGGACCCTCTGCTAAAGCTTGTGGTGGTCCGAGTGCAGCAGACATCCGTCCTCACATCAGCTCCAAAACCGCTGTCACCCTTACACGGTCCCTGAATTGTCCCTCAGCACCCACTTGTCCATGCCCCAGGCACACTCTAATTTCCTCTGGCGACTACAATCAACACTTTCTGCCCTCAACCTTCACAACACCTTGGCCCCCATGTAAAGCACCACCTTTCCCCTGTCCCCTTCTGCCCTGAAAATGCAAACCAGGAGGGTTTCAGAAACAATCCTGCACTGCAACATTTTCTCCTTCAGTCCCTAGATGGAGTAAGCGCCTCTGCAAGAGAGGTTGCCTTCTTCCTTATGTTTTTTTCTTGTTTAAATAAACTCACAGTTGATCATTCCACATTCAATAGTTGCTGTCAGCTCGTCAGACATATTATCCTCCACCACCAGCCCAGCTCCCACCCGCAGCCCTGCATGCCGTGGCACAGGGATGGGCATGGCCACCTCTTGGTCATCTGCATCCCAACCAGGGCAGGGAGGTGGTGGGGCTGTGGGGACACCCAAGGAACAGCCCCATGCGTGGAAATGCTGGCCCTTACCTTGTCCTCCAGCCTGCCGATCAGCTCGGCCAGCCTGTTGATTTGCCCTTCCAGCCCCTCTGCCTTGGCGTCGGGGGAACCTGGATGGGGCCAGGAGGCAGTGGTGGAGTGAGAGACATGCTCAGGCACCCCCTGCAAGCCCCTCCATTCTCCAGGGAAGTCGAGCATCACCTCCGTGCTGCCGCCAGGACTGCAGCTCCCTTCTCAGAGCTGCCCCCGGTTGCCAGTGCAGCCGGGAAGCTGGCCAGACTTACCAGTCTGGAAGCTCTTCCCGTGCTCCCTGGGGACCATGCGGCTGGTGGGAGAGTAGCTGGGCACGGGGCTGTCGTACCAGGTGTCCATCAGACCGTGGCCAGCCTTGCTGGGGTAGTGCCTGCAACAGAGAGCAGAGGCTGTCAGGGCAGAGCTGGGCATGTACAGCACGGCATGAGCTGGCCCCAAGGAGCTGGCGTCGGATCATCGTTTTTGGCAGAGCCCTTGGAGAGCAGCAGTGCCCACACCGTGCGGGCTTCCTTCCCATCGTATCCTCCAGCATCACCTGGTGTGGGGAGTGGGTCAGGATGACAGCAACATCAGTGGGCTGCTCCTAGCAGCTGGCACTTCTCTTTCCTGTTTAAGAAACACTGCAGCAGCCCTCCCAGCATCTCCTGCAGCCCTCAGGGGTTCTTTCTCCCCTAGATGGACACCCGTGACACTGGGCTTTGGGGTGCCAGTAGCTGTGTCCAGCCAGCTGGCTGCACCCAGACGGGCTGGTTTTGCAGCTGGGTGGCTTTGGTGACTAACACATGGGAGAAGTAGCTGTCACACAGCAGCACAGAGGTTGTCCATGCCCAAACTGCTGCCCTTGAGCAGGGAAAGCCTGCCCTCCTGTCAGCCTGGCCCTCCATCCCACCAACAGGCTGCAGTTCTGCAGAACGGAGGGACATCCACCACAGTATGTCCCCCACCTCGCTTCTTCCTCTGTGGCTACAAAGCCCATTTGGCCTGGGTCATCCTGCAACACCTCTTGGAGAAAAGGCGTGTGCCCAGAGACAGCAACGACCATCCATCCCCAGCTCCTCAGTGGTCCCCCCAGTCCCTCAATCATTGGCAAGCCAGAGAGGATGCCAAGAACTGCCATCCGTGTGCAGCGAGATGGGAATGGGTTTTGGGAAGGATGACCCTCTCTTTCCTTCCTCCTGCACTGATGGGAAGTCTGAGCTGCAGCGGGAGAGGCTGAGCTGGTCTAAGGGTTTCCAGCATTTCTTCCAGTGAGCGCAGCTTTGTGCCGGCTGCCTGCTGATGGAGGTTCCCAGGAGCCTCGACTCCTCTTGGCATCTTTTGCTGACCATGCAGCTCCCAGCTGGAGACAACATGTTGGGCACCAGAGAGCCGAAGAGCACAATGCCAACCAGCATCATCCCTGCCCTCCTGTCCCTCCCCAGGCACGCAACTGCCCCCAAATCACAGCAGCCAAGTGCCCTCTCTACCCTCTCCAGCTACCCTGGCCAATTTCATCTGGCTCCTTTGGTGCCAAGGGAGCATTCCAGACTGCTGTTGTGCCCTAAAACCAGCCTGTGTGGACTTGACCATGCACATAGGAACGTGACAAGTGGATCTGGTTCCAAAGAACATCCCCGAGATGAGGAAGCAAGAACAGCGATAAAGGTGGTAGGAACATCCCCGTCGCTACAGGCTGCGTGATAATCCCAGTGCCAGTGCTGCATAATCCTCTGTCAATAGGCAGGAAATTAGGCAAGGACAGACAGAGATTTCTTTTTAATCACAATTTAATGAGGTGTCTCAGGCTTGAACACTCTGCTCTTGCACTTCGTTTTACAGCCCTTTATTTTGGTACATTTTAGGCCACCTCTTTGTCTTCGTGCGGATGCATGAGATATTTTTTTGTGGGCTTTTTTGGCTATTATCACCATGAGAAAACAACTACAATACTCCTCATTATGAGCTGGGCCCACACATTGGCAAATAAAAGCCAGCAAAGTCTTTCATGGGCTCTAATTGCTCCGTCTGCTGTTGGGCTTGTTTCCTCCTCATTATTTCCCAGGACCTCTTACTTTTCCACGTTTTGTACAAGTTTTGCAACAGGCCAGCGGTTTCCTTCCAAAATGGGGAGAGGAAAGCGATATGGGGTGATGAAACCCAGAGCATTCCTCCTAGGAAAGCTGGTGAGATGTCACCAGAGCTGCCCAGGGTCTCACTGTGTCCCAGGCAGAGTGTAGCCCACTGCTGCCAGGCCGGGATTCAGCTGCTGATGATGTTAAGACCCAAACACCAAAACTTGGCTCCAGTGAAACATTTGGGCATGACAGCTCTTGCAGTGTCCCTCTCTGTGGTCTACATGCCTTGGCCTCTGCCCACACACAGCTTAGGGAAGCCAAGGCATCCCCCAAGCATCCTGTGGCCTCCTGGTTTGCAGGTATGGTAGGAGAGGGATTCACTTCATGAGCATCTGATGAACAGTTTCCGTGGCAACCTGTCCTGGTTACAGACAGTGGCATTCAGGGGAGGTGGAGGGACACCGTGACACCAAGGGGGAATGTGCTGAGGTCTGGGCTATGCTGCCAAGTACCCCTTACATTTTAGCCCTGTCAGCCCTTGAGAAATCTTGAAACTGTCTCCTCTCTCTTCTCCAAGCTTGGTAGCACATGCTGGGCTGCTGGGATGGGGACGCTCCCCTCACACAGGACCTGAGGAGGGTGGTACCTGTCCCCAGCACACAAGCACCTTTCACCTCTGTGGATGATTTCACTGGCTGGGTGCCCCAGAAGCAGGGACAGTGTCCCCAGCATGGGAATCTGCCTGCTGCAGGCTGTCCCAGCACACCCCAGACCGGGCTGCTGGTGCCCATGTCTTGCTCTGGATGGGTCCAATGGCTTTGCTCAGAGAAGCAGCTCTCTGAACCTAGCACTGCCCAGCCTGGCTCCAGGGGTTGCCCCCCTTGTTCGCATCTCCCCCTACACTGCTCGTGGGTAAAGAGGTCAAGAGGGACCTTTAGGGCTGCAGGAGAGAGATGAACAGTGCAGGACAGAGACGTGGAGGAAAGACCTGAAAGCTCTCAGGAAGCCAGGAAGGGAGGCAAAGAGGAAGGCAGTAACTCACCCGGCTCCCCTTTGTTCCCTCATACCACCTGTTGCATTTTCCCTTGCCCCACAAAAGCATTCTCCTCCTGTCCCTCCACCCTCCTGCACCCAAACTGACTGGGAAGCAGAGAGGAGGGCAGGAGGTGCTGCAGACCTGGTGGGGTTGGTTTGTTCATCAATGGCGTCCACGGCACTCTCCACAGAGCTCAGCAGCGACTGGGTCTGGTTAGCCGTCTCCTTAAGCAGGAAGCGGGTCACAAACTCGGCCACGTTTGTGCCGCTCTCATAGACCTGCCAAGGCAGACAGTGAGCATGGTGATACCCAGCACTGACCGCCCAGTGCCAGCAGGCACCCCGTCAGCATCCATCCAGCATCCCACACACAAGCTGGTCCCCTCTGTGTCCTCAGTCATGAGCCACAGGAAGAATGAGTGTATGCACCTCAAGGGCAGCATATAGCCCTCCAGCATGCATGGGTCACAGCTTCAGCGTGTTATTTAGTGCCTTAGTCCACAATGGTCTGGCCAACCCAGCACTAAAGTAAAAGGGGTTTGGGATGATTAATACGGCTCTCACTGAGGAGCCGCAAGCTGAAGGTGCTTTCAAGACAGGGGCAGAAAGCTCTGCCAGTCCCCACCCAGCCTCCCTCCTGTCCCACGCTGCAGACAAGACCCTCAGCATGTTTCCACATTAGGATTTTTTTCTGAAGAGGGAGAAAAGGAAAGCTCTGGCCGTTTGGGGCCAAAGGTAGGATGGATACAGCCCAAGGAGCAGG